TCTTTCTTTCTTTCTTTCTTTCTTTCTTTCTTTCTTTCTTTCTTTCTTTCTTTCTTTCTTTCTTTCCTTCCTTCCTTCTTTCTCTCAAGTTAGGTCTCATGTTGCCCAGGCAAGCCACGATCTCCAGATGTGTTCAAAGATGGCCTTAAACATCAGGTCTTCCTACTTCTACCTCTTGAGTGTTGGAATTAAAGGCATGTACTGCCATAGTTGGTTACACAGTGATGGGGAGTCTAACCTTGAGCCTGATGCATGCTAGATATGCACTCTACAGCCAAGGTGGATCTCCAGTCCCATCGACATTTTTTTTTTTTAAATCATCTTTGAAAAGTCTTGTCATCAAGAACTAAAGAGTACCCAAAGTAAGTGGGTTTGGAGTAAGGAGCAAGGAAAACTACCAGAATCTTTCTCTTATTGGATCAACTATTGATGTATTTTCCTCACCTCTAGCCCTGAGGTAAATTTGTAGCACTGGTCTTGGTATACATTAAGTATCCAGTCAATGTTACTTCCCAACTAAGAGACACTGATTACAACCTGTCTTTTTAATCACAATGTGGCCTTTTGTTTGTTCTACTTCCTCACATTGGTCTTTCTGGAAACTTCCTTCAGTGTTCACCTCCCTTGGCCTGGGGCATCTGGACACTTTACCTGGGCAGCCAGGTGTCAGTCCCATAGGGCGTGTTGGACTCATTCCTGGCTTGGCAGGTGCAGGTTTCTGATTTCTTCACCGGATCACTCAGTAGCTGGCTCTTTTTCCAGTGGCTTCCTGTCACCTGAAACGAGAGCTCACAGCTTCAGGAGGAAGGTGGAAATTCAAGGTGGAGAAGGGTGAGGCAGATGCAAGATGCAATTACATCCTGCCTCCACCACCCCTCTACAGCCCCACCCTATGCCTGGGGAGAAGTCTAGAGTCAGGGTGGGGCGGTGTTTATCTCATCCTTGTTTCTCCCAGGCTGTGCAGTATTAGACAAGGCACTTGACTTTACTTTGCTTTCTCAGTTAAGTGAATACTACCCACATTTTTATTAGTTCAGAGCCCAAACTCCACAGCTGGAAACCTAGCTCTGCCTTGTGTTAACTTTGCCTTCTTGGACCTCAAGGTGCCAGGTTCCTCAATAGTAAAATGGGAATTGAAACAGTAGCCACCTCTTGCGAAGATTGCCAGGTTGTAGTGAATAGCATTTGGTGGGGGATGCTCCCCGGGGGTTGCTGTTACCACCTCCACAAGACATCACCTTGTATCCAGTGCTGTGAGAGTTCACTTGCAACTCCCGGCTTCAGCCTTCCTCTCAGGTCTGTGTGGTTTCCATGTCAGCTCTGGCATCTCTCCATCAGGAATGGGACCAGCCAGGGAGTCCAGCGAGTGAGTCATAGACCAGGGTCGTGCAAGGTCAAAGGCTGCTATACCTCTCCCAGTTTCAGCTCTTGCCTTCCCTGGAAGGCAATTGTGAACTCTAAAAGGCTGTGGTATACTTCTAAAGACAAGGGCTGTGGTGGGGTGAGTCAGGAGTGGAACCAAAGAAGGAAAGCGATTAGACTTAAGGACCCAGGGAACACCAGTGGGGGTGATGGCCCTGGAACCCCTTGATTTCCCTCAACTGTGCCCAAGAACAAATAACCTAACCTTGGCTACACTCACCACCTTCTCTGGGTCCCTTGAGGCCATAGCCTGTGAATGAGGAAGGTGGCCTAGCAATTTTGATTCCTTACAGCCCTGTGTTCCTCCCTGTAACGAGAGCTCAGCTCTCCAGTGCTTTCGGCTTCTACTCGTTCCTCAGCAGTGGATGGAGACCAGAAATTTGGGACATCAGACTGGAACTCAAGAACTCTGGAAGGCCAGGATGACAGAAAGTAATAGGACTCTGCTTCTCAAGGTAACTGCCCTGGGGAAGCCTAGGGAAGACGTCTGATGATGGTGGCCCAGGCTCAACCAGTGTATCTCCAGAATCACAGGAGTCACATACTGAGTTGTTGGACCCAACTAACGTTCCAAATCTACGTCATAACTTTCAACCCTTGATCCATTAATATACATTTCCCCCCTCCACACACACACACCCTGCCCCCTCCAGTCCCAGAAAATAGAATCACAGGCATGGAAGGGGGGGGGGCATCAGCTGTTGTGCTCCTCCCTGGGTGTGGAGAAAGATCTGGAACGGAATTGGCTTCATGGGGGATTTCCAGGAGCAGAATCCTGCCTGCCTGTTTGCACTCAGCTTGTCTGTTCTCACCTTGTGAGGAGAAGGTGCAGGCAAAGCCACACCCAGCAACACAAATGGGTCCAAAGTGCTTGTCACAGCATCCCAGGAAAGGTGCCAGGCCAGATTTAAGAGAAACAAAGAGAAAAATAATAATAATAATCCAAGGCCATCATACCCAATGCCCAGCTAGACCTTTGAGAATAGTATTTATTTCAAAGTGTAGGTAAAGAAAACCCTGAGTCCAAGTAACATATAATTTCATAGAATCTGGGAATATAAGACCTTGATTGGAAGGAGATTGTCCCTACCTTGGATTTTATAAAGATGAAAGATTTGTTGGAATGGCAGGGCCATTCTCCGTAACAAAGACTGAATTGTATTTAGTATACAGAGGCCACAATGAATGATAACACTCTGAGATCTCACACTTCCTCCCTCTTGTCAAACAGCTGAAGAACAGGACACTTTCCCAGACTGGTGTGGCTCGGTTTTCAATGGCAGGATGGGGGTGGGAGGACACAGTTGGACCTGAAAAGGCACAAAGGAGTGGCAGAGGGGATCAGTTGTGTTCTCTTGAGAAAAATAGCTTGCGAGTCAGACATGGTGGTACATGCCTGTAAACCCAGCATTTTGGAGGTAGAGGTAAAAGGACCTCCAGTTCCAATCTGGTTTGAAATGTCAACACAGAAGCAGAGGCAGGTACATCTCTTTGAGTGCAAGGCCAGCGTGGTCTCCATAGTGAGTTCCAGGACAGCCAGTGCTATGAATGAGACCTTGTCTCGAAAACAATAAACAGAAAGTAAAAGCTAGAGTCTGTTGATCCATTTTGTGCTGCCCTAACAGAATCCTCACCGATTGGGTAATTCTCCCCTCCTCCCAAGATGGGGCTTCTCTGTAAAGCCCTGGCTCTCCTGGAACTCACCCTATAAACAAGGCTGGCCTCAAACTCAAGAACTCTTCCTGCCTCTCTATCTCCTGAGTGCTGGAATTAAAGGCCTGCACCACCACTGTCCTTTTCAGATCCTGCAGTTTTTAAGAAAAGAGAATTTTCACTGTTCTAGAGGCCAGGGATACCTTGATAAAGGCAATGTCACTAAGTGCTGGCTTTCATTCTGGGTCATCCCATGGAGTACATGGGAACAGCCAAGTGAACCAGAGGCCAGCCATGTTTTTATACTAAGTCTAGCTGTAACCCACTTCTGTTCCACACTTGTCTTGTCCTAATGACCTGGTATCAAGCCCAATGTCCCAGCACTAATGCACCGAGGGGGACACTCTTAGCACATGAACTTTGGGGGACACACTCAAACTACAGCAGTGCCAGGCAAAATGTTTCTATAAATTTTTGAACAATGTTTCAAGAATGTATCTTTGTTTATAGGTAGTGCTTTTGTTTTGCTTTTTACAAAGGTGAAGTTAAAATTAAGCCTTTAGGGTTGATCTAATCCCAGGACATGGGATCCAGACAAACACAAAGGATGAAGACATAGAAAACAGACAACCGTGTACAAGGCAAAGAGAGAGTTCTGGAACATATCATCACTCTCAAGCCCCAGAAGGGCTGGCTCTACCGTGCACAGACTCTCAGCTTTCCAGCATCTATTACCACAAAAATGGGGAACTTCTGCCGTTTGCTGTTCTCGGTTACAACAGACCTGGCAGAAGTCCAAACAAGTCAAAAGCTGATTCTACAGCCTCCCCCTGCCTTCCAGCTGATCTGCCTCGTTCAAGCTGGGGAGCCTCTGGAGAGGCCCAGCTCTGTCTGGGGTTCTTTCTCCAGAGCAAACCTGTAGGCAGTGGGATGGATGGATCTGTGGTCTGACCTGTGTCTGTCCCCGACGGCCTTGCAGCAACTTCTTAGACAGCTTTTCCCTGTGAAAAGAGCTAACCCCTGTCAGGAGCAGGCAAGAGTCCCACGACTCACTCAAAGCAGCCTTAGTTGCCTGGATTTCTGAAGAACATGGAGTCACCCTATTCCCCTGTAGCCTCTCCAGCTTCAACTCTCAGGCTCTCTCTTTCTTGTAGCCTATCTACTGGCTCCTCAGTGACCCAGGCAAGAGGGGTTCCCAGGCAAGAGGCAGATTGTTTAGCCAAGCCTGACACCACCAAGGTTATTGATGAAGGAGAAAAAAACCTGAGGAAATCAGATGATGTGAGGGAAGTTTAGGCAAGACTTTTCAGGTACAGAGTGTTCTAGAATTTGACTTTTGAATTGTAGAAATAAATTACCTATTAAAATGAAATTTTAATTTAAAATGTGCTCTCTCTACTGAAGAGGGTACCAGAGTGTGATTTTTTTTTTTTTTGCTTTAGAAGCATACCCTGTGTAATTTGTAAAATAAATACATAATAGATAGGTCCTGTGAATATACAAACTTAAATGTTTATTTTGACTTATGTTTTAGAATGGCAGTTATTTAATTTACCATGAAGGAGAGCTGGCAGACCCATCATAACTGTTACCGAATACTGCATTCAGACCTTGACCTAGGCTAGGCTTCCCAGGAAACCAGCTCTGTGGCCTTATCAATACCACAGGCTTGACTCCACCTGCTTCCAGATGTAGAGTCATTAGGAGGCTCAGAGGTCTAAACACTTTGAAACCACCAAGTCTATCAACAGCCAGCACACTTTTCAATTGCGCAGGTGCAGTGGGAGGTTATTGGCTAGGCTGTAGGCAGTTTCAAAACACATAGCCTAAGTCGTGGCAAGATCCAACCTTAAGAATGTTTTTATTTGATTCCATGACACTGTACCATGTACTCGGGCTACTCTAGAGAGAGAGACATAGGTCTCCTTTCCCCAAGCATTTTACTTGGAGAGGTTCAGGGCCAGAAAGGCTGCTGTCTTCTTCCTTAGTCCTAGGGCAGAAACTTTCAGGAAAGCTGGTGTGCTGGTGTTCATACCTGTCTTCTTTTAGACGCCCCACCCCTTACCTTAAACTGCCCCCACTCCCGAGAAGGAAAAGGCAAGAGAATTATATAACATTTTCAAGGACTAAGCAAACACAACAACCAGCACTGTCCTGAAGGGTTGATTTGTCTTCTCCGTTGCCCCCTGTTTTTCCCGTGCCATAGAGAACACCTAGGAGTTCATCTCTAAACAAACGCTTGCAAAGAAAGTTTAACATAGTTCACAGAGCTGTAAAAGTTCTCGGTGTGGCCCTCACTGGAGTGCTTTCTCACATTCCCAGAAGTAGCCAACCTACCACGTGGCAGAGCTGCTAGAGGAAGGGAGGGAACCAGCCCGCGCCGAGCTGCCCGCAGCATCAGGGCAGGGCGGCTCCCAGGAGGGCGCAGGCGTGGCGGCCCCTCCCTGCTGCGAGCCCAGGTCCGCCCACTGCCACCGGCGAAAAGGAGGAGAGACCTACATTTAAAAAGGCAGGAACCTACTAGCTCCAGAGCTCTTACAAGGCCGAATGAGAATTCCTATTTGTGGGGTCAAACAGAGGTCAAGAATTACCCAATCGTCTTTAAAACCCCCTACTTAGGGGGTCAAGCCAGGCTGGCAACCCATGTTAGCTAAATCTAACTTGATCGCCCCAAAGCCTAAAACTGCTTCTTTCTTTATTTATCTTCTTTCTTCCTTTCTTTTACTTTTTTACTGTTTTGCCGGAGATACGGGTTTTTTTTCTGTTACTTCCGGTTTGTGGCTGAGTTTTCTTTGCCTTACTTCCTTTTGGGGTGTGGGAAGGTTAAATTGCTTCATTATAATGTCCACTTAAAGATGTATGAAAAAGGAAGGTAGAAAAAGAAAAGGTGGGATAGAAAGAAGAGAGAAAGGAGAGGGAGGCAGAAGGAGAAGGAGAGGGAGAGGAGAGAGGTTGTTAGAAAAGACAGCACACAGTAATTTTGTTTATGTTATAAAATATTTAATATATTTCTATTCATAGATCTGTTCCACAATCATGCACTGTGTTCAAAGTACAGGTAAAGAAGCCGAGTCTCATCAAAGCCTGGATCTGTGTTGATTGACTCCAACCCTGAAGTCCTTTTGTTCATTTAACCTTTCAAGGAGGTGTATATTCATCCTATATTACAAAGCATATGCCTGACATGGGAGAAGAAAAAAAAAGCTTAATTTGGACCTTTTGTCAGAGTACCGGAAGAATCTTAAGACTATGATTTCGTCTTTGGCCACTCTTTTGCAATCTTTCCACGTGGGTATCCAAACGGACGGGCTGAGGTGGTCCTCGCAGCCCCACCCACGGGCGCACTTCCAGCTTCTGGCAGCAGGGGGAGCATGTGTGCAAGAGGAGGAAAGGTGCACCGGGCAGGAAGTGTCAAACCAAGTATCTGTCCTTAGCAGGCCCAGGCTAAGAATACATTAATTTTTCTTCTTGAACACTTAGAGCCAGTAGCTGCAGACTTCTCTACAGAGATTCATGCTTCCTCATTTGTAAAGTGGGGAAAACGGCCTTGCGACTTGTAGAAAAAGATCTCTGCTGGATCCAAGGAAGAAAATATTTCAGAAAGAAGCCAGGCTTGGCCTCTGGGTTCTATTGAGAAAGGAGAACTGAGCAAGCAGCACAAAGGGCCACCCTGAGTCCAGGTATCACAGGACTCCTCCCATTGACTCCCTGAGAAAGACTTCAAGCTTTATCGTAGTTCTGGCTTCTCCAATAGTACAGGTGGCTGGCTTGGGTCTCAGGCACCTTTAGGTACTACTCACATGACAGAGACTGTGAATTTCTTGGAGAATCACCAAGAATTCACCAAGATTCTGGTCATTCACCAAGCTGTATTACATAGTGAAACCCTCTGGAAAAAAAAAAAAGTCGAACAAATCAAAGAAGTAATCAGAGTAGCCAGATAGAAGTGGACAAATGACCAGTCGGTGGTAGCACACACCTTTAATCCCAACACTCCAAAGGCAGAGAGGCAGGTTGGATCTCTGTGAGTTCAAGGCCAGTCTGGTCTCCAGAGCAAGTTTCAGGACAGCCAAAGCTACATAGGAAAAAAAAAAAAAAACCTGTCTCAAAAAACAAAGAACAAGAGAGGAGAAGGAAGAGGAGGAGAAGAAGGAGGAGGAGGAGGGAGAGGAAGACAGGAAAAAGAAAAGAGAGAAAGAGAAATGGACAAATGGTGGCCCAGTTAAAGTAGAATGCAATGGTATTTAGCTCTCTAGCCCTCAGGCTCTTTCCCCTAAAATACAGTGATACCTGGATAGCATATAGACACACACATTGTCACAGACATACCTGGTGTCTTGTTTTATGGTCAATCTGCCTCATCAACTCGACTGGACATCCCCTAAGTAGTGATGACAGTCATCTCTGGTTGTGTCTGCCAGGATATTTCCAAGGAGAGTGGAGAGAGAAGACACGGCCTGGATGTGGTGGGCACCATCCCACAGGGCACAGGTTGAATGAAAGGGAAAAAGAGAAAGGGTGTAGAATGCTGGCATTGCTGCCCTTCTTGGCTTCCATGATGTAAGATATCCCTCCAGGCTTTCCCCACCACAATGGATGGAGGCCTTCGAAACCATAGGCCCTCCTCTTGTAAGTTGGCCTCATAGGAATCTTGTCACAGACACAATAAAAGAAACAGTGCCCCCAGTATCAAATGATACCTATATCTCAAGTTAGAATATCACAAAGAACTTAAATCATTTAGAATGTTTCTCATTTTCATAGCTCAAGGCCCCATCACAAACTTAACTGATGTTAGTAAACACTCTAGCCGAATTAATGCGTTTATTTACCATTAATTGAATATCTCCTTGGATAACAGTCCAGGTGCTAAAGTCAGGAGGACATTTTGGCTCCTTCATTTAGTACCTGTGTATGCTGAACAAGGTTCTAAGCCTGCCTAAGCCCCATGTCCATCAAACACATGATGCTGGGAAGATGGGAGGATACCATGTACCTGATGCTCTCTAGGAAGACTCAGTGAAATAGCAAGCACTCAGTATGTGCTGGTCACAGTGTGTGCAGGAGACAAGAGACCTCACTCAGGAATTCAGCAAACAAAGAAGTCATGAGGAACATTCCAGAAGGGTCCAGCACCACCCCATTTCCACAAGCCTGCTGGGTGATTCTGACCCACAATGGAGTTAAAAAAAAATCAAAGTTTAAGGGCTATGGATCTTAAGTGAGACAATCTTATCCTTAGTCTTGCATTTTGTAGAAGACAGATTTGAGGCTAAGTAAATGAATGGTGGGAAAGACCGAAAACAGGACAATGAAGATGAAGACCTACTGAGTGCAAATGAGAGATGATGGAGGTTGAAGCATGGGCCAAGGTGGTGGGAATAAACAAAGGATGATGACCAGTGATCTACAGAGAGGGGGATGGGACATACCTAGGAGCCATGTAAGAGGTGGAAGGGACCAGATTTACCAGCAAGGGAGAGAAAGAGGCTAGGATGAGTCCAGAGTTTGAAACACAGGGCTTTTCATACCCATGACTAAGTAGTGCTGCATTCGTTGTTGTTTGGAGATGGTTTATTTGGCTCTTCCTTCCCTCTTCTTTTTGGGCCTCGGAGATGACTGACGGCTGGCACAGATTGGCGTCTGTGCAGGAGGTCTGGTCCTCTCTGGAATGCACGGTTCCACGCTGTGTGGTGCACTTCTATCAGAGGCACACCGCTACCTCCTGTCACCCCCCACAGAGGTGGCTGCGATTCGATTCACCACCCTTGGTTGCTGCCACAGGGGTGGTGAGTCACTCTCCCAGAACAGCTGGTAGCTAGCACACTTTTCTACAGTCTGGGAGTGCTTCCAGGATCTAATTTACCCCCTCCTCAAAAGGGAAAGAAAATCCTGTTGATCCACCTTTTACAGCAAGCTCTCCTGGCCTCCTTTGTCTCTGGGATCAAAGGAGCTCTACCCACAAACTACTCTGCCTGCATTGGCATGCAGACTGTGAACTCACTGTCAGCTCACTACCCTGTGTAAGACAGGATTAATACAATACAAAGGAGACCTCACACCATATACCTCCTGCATCAAGATCAATTGATCTATTGGTAAAAAATGCTGATTCTTGGGTCTACTGGAGATGGACTGAGTTACAGGAGGGGGTAGGATTAAAAACAAGAGATGATTCTTCTTCTTCTTCTTCTTCTTCTTCTTCTTCTCCTCCTCCTCCTCCTCCTCCTCCTCCTCCTCCTCCTCCTTCTCCTCCCCCTCCTCTCTCTCCTCCTCCTCCTTCCTTCTCTCCTCCTCTTCTTCTCTTTCTGGAACCTATATCTATAGGCTGGCCCCAAACTAGTATATGGTTGAGGATGATAGTGGACTTTTGATCCTCTTGCCTCTACCTCCCAAGTTCTGCTCACAGCTATCAATGGTCATACCTGGTTTCATGTGAGGCCAGAGAAAAAACCCAGGACCTCATTCATGTCAACCAACCACTCTACTGAGCCACATGCCCAGACCCTGTAGTCTACATTAATATAGTATTTTGGTTAATTTTGAGGAACTAATTTTTTGATCATGTTCATTACCCTACGCAACTTCTCCACATCCACCCCTGTAATGGTTTGTATATGCTTGGCCCAGAAAGTGGCATTATTAGAAGGTATAGCCTTGTTGGAGTAGGTGTGTCACTGTGGGTGTGGGCTTTAAGACTCTCATCCTAGCAGCCTGGAAGTCAGTACACTGCTAGCAGCCTTCAGAAGAAGATGTACAACTCTCAGCTCCTCCTGCATCATGCCTGTCTAGATGCTGCCATGTTCCTGCCTTGATGATAATGGACTGAACCTCTGAACCTGTAAAAGTTCAGAGTCCCAATTAAATGTTGCCCTTATAAGAGTTGCCTTGGTCATGGTGTCTGTTCATAGCAGTAAAACCCTCACTAAGACAGCCCCCATCTTTGTGTCTTTTTTTTTCTAAACTTTATCAAGTTCAATGAACACCCTCTAAATAGTGTTAAGTGACTGTACTAGAGATTCTTGACAACACTAGAATTTGATTTTTGTGGTAATTCTTGACCTGCTATGTAGAAAAGGTAACTTTATAGAGTGTGGACCGTTCAGTTCTGTTTGAAAGAAGAAAATCCGCCGGTCCCTAAGAAAGAATAGTTTAGACTCTACCAGATCATCCCGACTGCTATCTACTTCCTGACCTTGAAGCACTGGGGGTTGCTGGGGCAGCATTCAGATAAGGGCACACACATAAATCAAGTCACTATATCTGTCTAAAATGGATGAAATGCATCCCTACACCGAGACAGTAGTGTTGGGTCATAATTACTCTTTCTTTTTTGAGGGCCAAGCTTATAGCTAAGTTAATGGATGGCTTGCCTAGCATAAAGCCCAACAATGAATAATGTAAGCATAGTAGCACACCCCTATAATCCCAGCACTTGAGAGGCTGAGAAGCAGAGGCAGGAGGATCCAGTTAAAGCCAGCCTTTACTACGTAGTGAGTTCGAGGCAAACCAGGGCAGAAACGCTTTCTCTAAAAACAAAACAATACTTTTCTTTCAAAGGCAAGTTTAGAAGGCTCTAAAATTCAAAATGATGGTATTGACATCAACCAGAAAAGATTTTCTGGTTGCTGTGCTTGGGTACAGTAAAGCATTTCTTCTAAGTTAGGGCCTCCCAGCCATTCCCTGAGATGCCCAGCACTTGCCCAAGGTCAGGAGACCAATCTGTGCTGGTGCAATCAAGGTCAGAGATGGAAAACAGCCTACAAATGAGGGCACCACAGGCAGACTCTGCCATCCAAGAGCTTGGAACTCCGTAACATAGAGCAGCTGTAAGAAGGCAGGGTCAAAAAAATGCTGGAAAATTAGTTTGCTAGAGCTTCCAGGTCATTAGGTTTGGTTTATTTACTCCAAAAGTATTCACAGGGGCCTGAACATTTTGAGTCGAAACTAAAGGAATGAAAGGTGGCAAGGGCACGCCCCACACACTTGATGGAGCGTCTACCTTGCAGGCTAGACACATGCTTTGCAATTAAACTCCGTAAGGTAGTAAATGTTAGTGAGCGGCTAGACATCAAATGCCATGTCCAGTCAGAGGGAGAAGGAAGGGACCATCCAGGGTTCAAAGGCAAGGAAAGCCTAGCCCCACCCCTCCCCATAAACCTGAACAAGAGGAACATCGTGAGAAGAAGAAACAACCCACCTGGACACAGTTGGCCTGGGGCCTAAACTGGGATTGGGAATGAGAACAAATGATATTCAGGCTCTCGCTCTGTCACTCTGTCTCTGTCTCCCTGTCTCTCTATCTCTGTCTCTCCTCTGTCTGTCTGTCTGTCTTTCTGTCTGTCTCTCTGTCTGTCTCTTCCTCTCTTCTCTCTTTTTGTGACAAGGTCTTAGAAAGTAGTCCACTTTGGCCTCTGAGCTCTCTATGAAGCCAAGGATGACCTTGCATTCCTGGTCCTCTGACCTCTACTTTCAGAGCGCTGGTAGTACAGCTGGTGCTGCACCACCACACCCAGTTCACGTGATGCTGAAGACTAAGGATCCTGCACGCTAAGCAAGCACTCTTACCAATTCACCACATCCTCGCACCATCCCGTTTGTTAAATGCTGTAATACGATGGACACTCTGTCCAGCACTCAGCTGTCAGATTGTTGTTTGAGTATCATGGCAGTAACACTGAGGGATCTGTCTCATCCTGTGTCCCATTTAACACAGTGCTGCTCGGGGAAGTGTCGGCTCCAAAGTCACACAGCTAGCAGTTAGGAAAGCCAGGGGGCAAACCAGTGCTTGTATGTTGAGTAGAGGGCTCTTTGTACCCTGTCTCTAGATCATACTGCTTCTCAACTGAGGGCCTAGCAGAGGACATGAGGTGGACACGTAGCCTTTGGCCTCTTCCTAAAGAATTCCTGAAGACTCTAGGTCTTGCTCTGATTTCAGGAGTGTACACAACCAGAAGGACAGCCAATACCCCTGCTTGGGGTTCTGTTTTATGTTTGTATTTGTGATGTCCTTGATATGAAGAGGTTGAGGCAGTGTAGGGGAGGAATACCTTGCCTGTAGTCTTACATAGGGATTAGTTTTTTAAAGTTAGACGTCTGTTCCTTCTTGTAAGACATCAGGGGCCAGTTTAAGGGCTGAGTGCCATACCATTCCACAGGCATCTAGAACTCTCCCCTTCTGGCTTTCCTACCGACTTTATTGGGCTTCTGCTTGAAACAAGAGGGCTGCTTGAGTCCCAGCTATCCCTTCCATACTCCCAGCTATCAAGGAGAGTAAGTAGGTAGGACACACTGCTTTCTCAAGGTCAGGGCTTCCCCCTATGAGCTGATCACAGCATTTCTGTGTCTAGCTCATTGGCCAGAATTTAAAATGGCACAATTGACTCCAGGCCTACTTGAAAATGTAGTCCTTGCTTCAGACCATGTTTCTGGTAAAGCTCCATCACTAGAAAAGAGAGAAAGAATGTTTCTATACACACAGAACAGTGTCTGCCTCTGCCCTGAGCTCATTTGATCTTCCTACAGTGCAGTCCAATGAGTTAGATGCGATGATCCTCATTTTACAGGGGGCAGGGGGAGGAGAGTATGTCTCTGAAAGGCTAACTTGTCCAAGAGGTTAGCTTGTCTATGATGGAAGAAGCCACCAGCAGAAGACGTGGGATTCTGCTGTGTACACCTGACCTGAGGCTGTGTGATTCTGCCTCTGGCCCTAGGCAGATCATGGAGAAACAAGGGTACCTTCATTCCTGCATAGACCCTGAGACTGGTTTTTCAGTATTTTTTTCCCCTGGCTAAGATATAGCTGTGCCTTTTATACCTAAATTCAGTAGAGAAAGCTAATGCCTTGCAAAGAAAGAAAGCGTGGCTAGGGCAACCATAAGGTAATGGAATGGCCAGTGCAGGCCATTGTCCAGAGATAACTTCAGCCTAGCTCAGGGCCAGCTGCACTGATGCAGCTCATAGGACGAGCTGCCTATGCTGGGAGGACACACAGGCCTGGAAGCTTCTCCCAGCCACCGCCCAGGTATCCGTGAACTCGCCTAAGGCACATTCATCAGCTCCGCTTCTGTGATGTTTGGCTTTGATCTGAACTAACCTGTGGGTCTCTTTTGACTCCTCCTAACTAACGCCTGGCTGGGCCTGGCCTCTGGCCCAGGCCTCACCCTGGTCACTGAATGTTCTGCCTCTAGAGCCCTGTGTTTGGTGAACCTGTGGTCCCGGTGAGGATCTGCTAGGACCAAAGGAAAGTTCTAGAGGAGCTAATTAGCTCTACAAAGGTGAAAGGCCCAGTCCTGTCCAGGCATGAGCCTTTCTGAGCTATGTTTTCTCACACTTTTCCCTCCTTCATAGCTTTCCATTAGGACCATTAGAGACATGGCTGACCCGGGAGCCATCAGTCAGTCTTAACAGAACAAGTCTACAGGAAGCCGGTTGAATGCAAACCCGCACACATCCTCATTTCCTCACGATTTTCTATTTCCTCTCTTATCCTCTACCTCCCACCTTTCATTAAGTCTTCCTTTCCCCTTCTTCCCTTGCGAGTCTCTCTGCTTCTCCTTTCTCCCCCTTACTCTGCCCCTCTCTCCTCATTTTATCTCAAGGGGTGGGGGCGAAATAAAGATAAGGACTCTACCGCTGAGCCACGCCCCCATCCCTCCTCCCACTCCTCCCCACTGCCCCCCACCC